CGCCCTCTGTATTTCCACGGGACCCCCACCGCCTCGTGGGACGGGGCCGGCGCCGACGGGGGTGCCGGTCACGGCATCACCGTCAGCAACACCAGAGGCAGCGGCAGCGGTGGTAACCGCCGGAATGGCAGTGGCAGTGCAAGCGGTAGCAGCAGCAGCAGTAGCAGCAACAGTGGCAGAGGAGGTGGCGGAGAAAGGCAGTCAAGACCAGCAGCTTCTGCAACAGATGCGAATTCTCCAGCAACAGCGACGGGTACAACCGCCACCACCACCACCGTCACTCCAACATGCGGATTGTACGGGTCTCTGTCGACAAACGCAGTCGCTGAAAGAATCAACAGCAGGAGTATCACTGCACACTGGCTGTTCCCGCCAGCAGGGGCGGAGGTACGAGGGCCGCTAGGAGACCACCCGATGCATTGGGGCGGAAGAACGAATGGAGATTTGGTGTCCGGAGATGCACCGTACGCGTCTTTCGCCCCAGTCGGGGCTGGGGAGAGGGGAGTACTGGGCGGTGGAGGGCACGGCGGCGACCCAGCCCAAGGAGAGGGCGGTTCGAGTGATCACGTACGGCAAAGTTCTTTCTCGTGACTTTTCTTTCCTACCGTATGCCAAGTTCGATGCTGTTGAGCCTGTCGCTTTATTCAAGACCTCATCTGACAAGACCTGCTTTGGGTCTGAAAGTACACGCTGTCGGAATGGGTGAGATGAAGGTATTTTTTGTGGAATAAACTCACGGCCATACCCCCCATCTTTTCCGAGCAGAGACCTCCCAGTTCCTCCAGAAAAGACAAACGCTGGTGTCCGAGCGTTGTGCGTGAGTGATGATGGTTGCTCCTCGTCCATTTTAAACCGACATCTAAGATCTATCGCCTAACCCTCTGCCATACAAAACACGTGCGTCATCCCTTTCATTGTACACCTGCAGGTTGGACTGATTAGGGCTTTGTGGCTGCAAGAGAAGGAGAGCAGGCTGGCCTCGGAAGCGAAGGTGGATGGTGTCCTTTTCACGTACTACTGTAGTTTCCACCGACCCCTCTCGTCATGAAGGTGTACTGGGTGGTAAAAAACTATGCAAGATAGTACACCTACACTGTTGAATCACCCTCGTCTGTGTCGGTGCCCGAACTTGTATTCGAAGGGGTCGTGTACTTCGACGCTCGTGAAGGCAATTGATCCAAGACGAAGCAGGTTTTCATCGGTGGTGTTTTCCGCGTGATAGAACATCTCAACGTATTTGAGAGTACACAGAGTAACCGATGCGGCAGCATGTTCCTAGATTACGGCCACGGCCATGTCACATTTGTCGACTACCCTGCGACTGCCTCGCTGTCTGAGGGGCTGACGGTTTCTTCCCCCCTTCCCCGCCCCGGAACCCTTGTCACGTTCGCGGCCGGTCCTATTTGCGGTTGTTTACTTCTGACTCGTTGACCCGTTCAGGCTGATGCTGTGAGGGATCAGAGCGCCCGACTATGGAATGAACTCGTACGGAGTGAGAAACAGGTGCAGTTTGAAACGATACCACTGTTGTTGGTTGTGCAAGGTAAACCTGTTAGTGTTGCGTGCAGTACCTCACATGCCACCAAGGATGGGATGGCTTCAAAAGGAACTTGTTGAAAACGGTGAGAGTGAACCATCTGAAGGGCTAGCTCGCTCACCTACAACCGAACACGTCTTATCTTTTTGCGTCGTGCGCTGTCAATAGACCAGTTTCATCTTAAGAGGAAAGAATTCATGCCGGCTGGTCAAACACGAATCAAGCGTGCATTACGACGTACTTCTGCAATACACATTTCTATCCGTGAGATCGTAACAAGCAAAAGAGAACACGTATTGCGGCTTGTCGATCCCCTTCTTTGGGTGACCTCTCGCGTAATCTCTTGATCGGTTGCGATGATACCGGCATGAAATACTCATTATCTGGCTGTCCCAAATGCAGGTGCTGAGTCTCGAAGAGGGGGCGGCTGCTCTTCGTGAGGAAAGGGATAAGCTTAAAGCCACCCTCAATGGCGAGGGGTTCAAGGTATTGGTGATCCCTAGTAGTTCAGGGCAACCCACGATGCGGTGCCAAAGAAGCATGCACCTATTAGCTTCAATGACCGCATGACACTCTCGCCATGACTAGTCCACTGTACTTGGGGGAGAACCAGGACCAGTCCTCTACCTGTGCATGGCGCGCAACAGAGTGCCCAGTTCATACGCTGCATGCCGTGGGAGTTGGTTCCAATAGAAGTACGTCTGAATCACCGCTTAACCCATTTCCTCTTTTCAACGGTCCCCTCGATCGAGTACCACTGCGCAAGCAAGCCAGTGTAAATGTGTATCTACTTCCTTGGTCTTGCGAGGGGGTCAAACTTAACCACGCGTGCAAGGCCAATGATAACCAACGACGGTCCTCTACATGCAGGGACGATCCTTGCAAGAGCTAGAGCACCTGGAGAAAGATCTCCGGAAGGCATTGGAGGGTGTGTGTGGGGAGAGGGATAGAATCGTCCAGCAGCAACTCGCCAAGGAAGAACAGAGACTCTGCGTCGTTTGCCAGGTGAGTCTGCGCACAGACGAAACCTAGATCGTGTATTGAATAGCACATAATATGTGCCGTTTCCCGTTTAACTTAACGGAGGGGACGGGACACCTCAATAGTGACATCCACTATGGGACGGGGAGACCTGATTGATGTCAAACGTCCAAACTGCGACGCCTCCTCACCATCCACTTCCACATTGACACGGACTTTTGTCCGCACACACACATGAAGATAATGTTCGGAGTAGCAAACGCGTTGGCTGCGTTGCGAGGACATTTCATGCACGTCGGAGTAAGTACTTAGTATTGCCGAGTGCATAATCGGATCGTTCGAAGGCATTCGTGCCTCGGAGACTCCTCAATCGAGGCGGGACGACTATCGTCTTGCCCTCAAAACACGATCATTCGACAGCAATGCGGGGTCCTGACATAGTTCCAATTTTGGGCTCATTCGGAACGGGCGGTGGGAGGTGGAGAGCGCTTATGATATCATGTGCAAGTCATAGGGTTAGGTAGAATGTGACCAACTGTAAACCGATGATACATCGGAGTTGAACCCCGAGGCTGCAAGGCCTGATTTCGTGGGCGTGGCCTGGCGGATCGAAGCCTACAACACAGCTCGAGTGAGACACGCTGGAAGAAGGTGGTTTCTGCATCTGCCACAACGCACTCCCAATGGACCAGTATGTTGACCCAATCGACCATGTACGAAGCGCAAGCTTCAATCGACCAAGTAGGACAACATGCCAAAGGAAAATATTCCAACTGCCACCCCCACACGTACACGCATCACCCGCGCCTCGCCGCCAACGACCAACAGGAGAAGGAGCGAAGCGTGCTCCTGCTACCGTGTCGCCATCTTTGCGTTTGCAGGGGCTGCTCCGAGCGGCAAGAGCTAACCTTGTGTCCGCTATGTCGAGATCAGATCACCGAGAGCCTCGTTGTGTACTCCTGAACTCGAATAGTGATACAGCAAGAAAATAGTCGACCGCGAGGCCCCACAACGAGAAGGGGCACCTCTCGGGTTTCCATGAGGCGGACAGGCGTCTTCTAGAAGAGGTTTTGTCTGGGTTGAGAAAGGACAGGCGTCGATGGCGGCTTGTTACTCGGCATCATGACGGTCGACGACATTCGAGGGCTCTGGCAAGTGTTCTTCTGGGGTGATGGAAGCTGGTACTGACCTCGCTGCCAGACTGCCTCTCTCCCTGTCTGACGTGGTAGGCTAGACGATACAGTGCCGAACTGGGAGCGGTTGCATAGCCGGGGTCACATCCTTTGGTCGTAACCTGTGCCGACCTGAACCTAATGGAGTGACATGTACATTTGCGCGTACACGATTTAGTCAGATTAACTGCACCGTCCATCCAGGACATATACCAAACGATGCGCCCGATACGCACATGGATGGGTCCGAAAAAAAATGGCGTCTGTGCTCTCTACATCGGGTGAGCAAGCGACCACTGTCAGCCCTTGCTTACCACTTTCATGACAACGCCGTTGTCATGCACCATCCCCGCATCATGACAACGACACCGCCTGAACCAACCACAACGAAAAACTTGAAGAGGATTACAGCACGCAAGCTGCGTTGCCCATAAAATAAATTGGTGAGGGATAACACGCAAACATGGTGTCGGAATAAGAAATGAACTCTGCGAATGTTCAGCGCTGTTCATATATCCTGGTCTCCGTTGGAAGCGAGGCTCTGCAAAGCTCTTTGTTAGTAAACTTGATCGACTTCATAAGTCGCGAGGGAAGGAATTGCTGTACCCTTCTCGCGATAAAAATATCTCAGGCAGGAACCGCAGGAGGGGGTCCAACCCTACCCGCCTATGTGACCTCGGTTGGGTTGTCCAGCTGGTAGAAGTGGAGGATAGGGGCCAGAGGGGCAGACGACAGAGTCCGATGATGGGAGACAAAAAAGAAGAAACAAAAATAATAATAATAATAATAATCATAATCATAATCACAATAGAGCCCAGTTGCTTCGCAAAGTTCAGCGTCTTGGCTTGAAAACGTGTGCTGGCAGAGCAAGCTCAGACGGGGCAAAACGCGCCTGTGAGCACCTGATTGGTTTTGGATTGGAGTACTACGGTCGCAGGATTCAACACTATCCAAGGCAATCGGCGGGGTCTAAGGTCTGGAACTTGAGCAGTTGAGGGTTGATGGCAACGGTGGCCACAGGCACGAATGCGTGCAATGACGTCGTTGGGATCTGGACTAATGGAAGTGTTTACCGTGTAACCGCCGCTGTAAACCCAAAGTGTAAAGGCTCACCCCCGGGTGTGCCTCATGCAAGAAAGTGGCGTGCGTTAATTTCTGCAGTGCTGCACCAAATCAGAAAACTTTCCTTCAAAGAGTCCAAACTAGCGAACCATTCTGCTGCTTCTCAGGTATTTCTTCGCAACTCACATGCGGAAATGCTAGGGCCGTGCAAAGCCATCCATCGATGTCACCGACATCATTCAACACTATAATAATAAGCGCAACACACGAACAACGCTACTGCCTACGCCACCTTGGGCATCTTATTCGACTTCTGCTCCGAACGCTTTCAGCGCTGCAGCGACGGCATACAACGACCCTGTGCAAAGCACCTCCACTATCTCACTGTCAACGCGACCACCTCCATCACCACAACCAGTTTCCACCACGCTCGCGTCTCCTCGCCCCCCGCTACCGTCAACCGCCGACGCTGCTGCTCTGCTCGAGGCGCCGGGATTCCCAACAACGCTAGCTGCCTCTGAGCCCCCGTCGTGTTGGCTGTTAGCGCAGATCAAGGAAAGTTTTTCGAAGAAAAACGGCGCCGTGCCGGTAAGGGTTGCGCTTAGCGTGCCCCCTCTACGTGTCTGAAGCGAGGTCCACACCTGCAATGACCCGATTCGAGAGAGGGGAGGGGAGGGGGGGGGGGGGGGGGGCTTTNTCACCGATGGCCAATCGTTCCTTTCTACTTTGCCAAAGGTGGCTCAACAATGTCTTCCCTAGTCTGTCTATCCTAACGATATCTCTTCCCGCCTTTTCCAACCACCTCCTATGCCCCACTACAGCTACCGTCCATTCCTCGCTATTCCATGCCTCAAATATCTCCCTGTACGTCCCATCTATTTTTCCCAGCTCAGTCACGTACACTTCCCTCCCCTTCTTGTACCATGGACATTCCGCGACTACATGAACACGGTCTTCGCATTCGAAGTCGCAATCACATTTGAACTTGTCGTCTTCCTCGTCTACCGTCCTATGTCTTCGTCGACGTCCTCGAAGGCCTATGTCCCCGGTCCTGAATTTGACCTTAAGCTTTGTTCCTGCATCCATTGGTCCATGTAGGTACTCCTTGAACCCTATTCCTTCCTTCAACATTCCGTACATTTCTAGACCCTCCTTATCCTTGGATTCTTTCCATAGATTCTGTTCTCTCTCGGCACAAGCAACAGATATCTTCTCCTTGAACCCCTGTAGACCCTCCGTCTCCAGCGTTTCATCTTCTTCGATGTCAAGCCCCTTCCATACGTCCTCTACAACCTTGACCCATTCCGTGGGGTGTCTACCCCTCTTTTTGTTTGCCCACTTCGCCTCCCATACAATTCTCGGCAACCTCTCCTCTCCCAACCCGCACATGCGATACTGCCATGTCAGCTACCTCGCGTCTCCTCCCGACCG